CATGGATGCTGCAGAAGCTTGGAGTCACCGGACAACCACGGGCTGTGTGGCACCATCAATAAATCATTTAGCATATGAGGAAAGTGAGCGTCTTTATAATAGCACTTGATAGGTGACTCCTTAATCATAGTTGATCACAGTAGCTAAATGGATATCGACTGTTTCTTATTTTTAAAGATTCATTTTTTAAACTTTTTTTTTTCTGCAGGTAGCCGAAGGTAAATTAAATGATCACTTTCCTCTTGTGGTCTGGCAGACTGGATCAGGAACCCAGACAAATATGAATGTAAATGAAGTCATTAGCAATAGAGCAATTGAAATGCTCGGAGGTGAACTTGGTAGTAAGAAACCCGTGCATCCCAATGATCATGTTAATAAAAGCCAGGTCAGTATATGACCTTTTGTTTGTTATAAATTGAAAAGAATACCTGAGATTATGCTTGTAAAATAGGCATTAGCTTTTTGACAGGGAAGGTTCATTTGGCTTATATTCTTTAGTAGAAAGGACTTCTTACATGTTCTTACTTCTTCTAGGAATCTTGGGTCTATGTCTTAAACTTCATAAAAATCCCTATTAGGACACCTGAATTTAGTATGTATGTGTATTTGTATTGTTTGGTTTGTTTTTTAAAAACACTTTATTTTTAAATAATTTTAGAATTATAAAAGAGTTACAAAGATATTTCACACAGAGTTCCTGTATACTGTTCTCCCAGCTTCCCATAGTGTTAAACATTTTTCATGACCCTGGTACATTTATCACACCATGAAATTAACATTGGTATACAGTACCCTTAATTAGACAGACTTTATTAGGATGCCCCTAGTTTTCTACCAATATCTTTTTTTCTTCCAAGATACCATCCACGCTACATTGCATTTAGTAGTCACTGTGTTCCCTTAGTCTCCTCCAGTCACTGACAGCTGTCTTTTGTCACCTTGACACTTTTGAAAGCAGTTAGGTATTTTGTGGAACATCCCTCAGTTTGGGTTTGGAGACTCTGGATTTTGGGAAGACTGTTCAGAAGTGAAGGGCTCCTCTTACTGCATCATGGCTGGGGTACATGATAGCACCAGAACTTGGGACTGGTGATGTGAACTTCGACCCCTTGGTTAGGGGGATGGGCTTTTCCACCTTCCATTCCCTGTTAGAAGTGAGCTGCGGAGGCCTAACTATACTCGGGCACTGCACTTAAACTTCACTTTCTAAAGGGAGACATATCAAGGAATTTTTGGTCATATGTTAAAATCAACACAGAATTAATAGGTAATTTTGAGGATGTGCAAATACCCTCTTTCTCCTTAAACTTGTCCATGAAGGTTATCATTCATTAGTGGATCTTGCCTGTAGCAGTTATGACTGTGATGTCTTAGTGGTTATTTTGTACTCCCCTCATTCCTTCTACTTGTATTAATTGGAACTTTCCTGTAAAGAAGATCTGTTCCTCTTCTCTCTACCCCAACACTTCTTCATTTGTTTATGTATATCAACGTGGATTCTTGAATATTTATTCTATTCTAGGGTTCTAATCCAATATTGTTATTATTTATGTTGTTGCTCAGATTGTTCTGGCTTTGGGAGCCCTCTCTGTTGGCTCCTGTGTTCTTTGGATGTATCCTCATCCTTCCCCCACACTTTTTTTCTTTTATAAAGCAGTTCTTTACTTTCTTCTACCACCAGGTGCCCCAGTCTCATCATGTAGTTTCCCTGCCCCAGCCCTTGTCAGCACCCATTTTTCCAGGGAACTCTTGGAGGATCTTAACTGGAAAATATTTAGAAATCAAGATCCCATGCTAGATGTAACTTAACATGTTTTTACGTATTAATGGGGAAGCTTTTTCACATAAGTTTACTGTAGGAAGGATTTTTCAAACTTATTACTTGCATTGAAATATAAACTTCTCTTGTATGTATACTGCAGTCTGAAATCTATGTGAGAGTCATCCAGTGTGAACAGTCGGGCGGAGGAGTGGGGTGGAGCTACATGGAAGCAGGATTGGTGTGCACTGTGAATTTAGGTTATAGGTACATGAGTGTTCCTTATACCATTCATTCTACTTTTGTAAATGGTTTGATGTTTTCCATAGTACAAAGTTACAAAAACAATACATCGTTTTTAAATAGCACAAGAATTTAGAAGTATGGGGTTTCCAGTTGAAAACAGAGCATGGAGTTTGGACTTCCTGCTTAGGCCCCAGTTCTGCCAGTTCCTAAATGTTTTGGCAAGTCACATCATTTCTTTGAGAGCTTGGTTTTCCTGTTTTTAAAGTGATGAACTACCTGACAAGAATTATACTCAAGTTTAATAAAAGACTGTACTGTATAACTGTAGATATCTGCCAGTATTACTGCTATCTTTACCTACTTGATGTTGTGCTGTCATTTACTAGCAGATGTGATAATAGTACATAAGAGCAGGTGGCGTACAGGCTACAATCCTGAGTTCATTAAACCCAGCTGCTGCTGCTTTGACCTTAAGTGACCTGTGGCTTGCCACACATCGATGTCATGGAGCATTAAAGACATGAGTGTTGAATAATCATTTAGTGAGATTTTTAGTGGAGACATTCAAGTGTGTTTTTTGTTGCTTCTGATTTAACATTTTACCATTTTGTGTAAATTTTCCAACAGAGCTCGAACGACACATTTCCCACGGCAATGCACATCGCTGCTGCTGTGGAAGTCCATGAGGTGCTCCTGCCCGGACTCCAGAAGCTGCATGATGCTCTCGATGCAAAATCTAAAGAGTTTGCCCATATCATCAAAATTGGGCGTACTCACACACAGGATGCTGTTCCTCTCACCCTCGGGCAGGTAGAGGAATGTGTCTGGATGGGACTCAGTTTGGGGATTGGTACAAATGGCCAACATATTACCCTCTAAATCGCACTAGTTTAGAAGGCCAGGTTGTAACAGTTCGGTTCAGTGGCAGAGATTATTCTGCATTAACCCATCAGGAGTTTTATTGACACCTTCTGAGGGGAAGAGCACAGCATGCAGACCGTGAGCCAGTCTCGGGGCAGTTGGCTCGGGTTGAGAGGTTAGCTTTGCTGCGTACAAGCTTCGGGACCTTGGGAAAATTAGTGAGCTTTTCTGTGCCTCAGTTTTCTGAGCTTTCAAATGAGGAAAATAGCATCTGTATCCTAAACCAGTTGGGAGGTTAGAATTGGTTCATGTAAAGGGCTTAGAACTCTGTCAACACGTAGTAATGAACACATACTGGCGTTAGCTGTCATCATTGTCTCGTCATCATCAAGATCATTATCCTGCCTCCCTTTTTCTCTTACTCTGGATTAGTAGGCTCTATAAAAATTACTTTTAAGTTGATTAAGCAAGGCATATCTGCCTCTAAGATTGTATTGGGCCACATGGGAGAGAGGTATTACTCTCTTCCCCAAAATACCAGAAAGTATTTATGTTTCTTGATCAGTGCCTCAAAGAATGTCTAATAGCATGCACCACGAAGGACATGAAAGGAGTCAACATCAGGCAATAGTTTTTGATAGTAAAACTCTCCTGTAGTTTGGGAGGTAGGACTTGCACAAATTAGGGGTATCAGGTGATGGCGAGGTGAGCGAGTGCTGCTTACTTGAAAAGATTCTCATTTGTAGTTTTGTTCAGATGAACGCTGCAAGAAGCTTGATTGCTTAGCTTAATTTCATTATGGAAGAATGAGGAAAACAAAATGATTCATTGGAATACAGGTGCTGGGAGTGAAGTGAGCTCCCTAAATTCAGTTGTCTCTGAAGGCTCTTCTCTTTGCATCATGTTCTTAGCGCCTGGCATGGTTTCTACAGAGGAGCAGTGTGTGTCTGAAACCTTTGAGTGTCCCTCTGGTTTCTAATGTTTTTCTTGTTGTGTGTGTCACCTGTTGGAAAACCACCCACCGTGCTAACGACTCTTTGGGCCATGACAGCCTCCTGTGTAGAGTCATCATTCTACCAATTACATCAGAAACCGTTTTCTGTTCAACTTCACCTTACCAGAGCACCTACACTTGCCTTTATTGGAATTGTCTTTTGAGTTTATGCAGGTTTTCCCCAATAAAAGGAAACTTTTTAAATGAATCCAGCTGGTGTATGTAGTAGTGACATTAGATTAGATGAATCAGGTCTGCCTGAAAGGAGTTCTATCTTCTAAAATGTTTTCTTTAAAACAGTAAGATATCCTAATACTAATTAAAAGTATTCATGATTTTTCAGTGTTTTTAGGCAGGAAAAAGATAGCTGTAGTGTAACCATATATTCTGGCTTGTTCAGTTGAGTTCTGGCTTACACCTTTTGTCCCTGCATAATTCTTAAAAGGGGCCCTGCTGTGTTCACACAAAAAATTATGTTTCTCCCTTTTGTAAAATGTGTCAAATTCTGGGAACCAGTGGGACATTAACAGCAGAATTAACTTGCATCTTGAAGCTGTAGTCTTGCTCTGGCCGGTTACCTTCTTGTGCTCTTCAGTGAGCTGTTGAGCTTCTTGAATACTTTAAAGCATCCCTTCTGTTCTCTGTTAGGTTTTTAAACTGAAATTGTGTGGAGAAAATATCTGTGTTTGCATTTGTCTTGGGAGAGGATTCTGGGTTTTTCTTCTTTCTCAAATTTGTCTGGGATACACACACACACACACACACACAAAAACCACCTTCGAGCAAACCAATAATTTAATGTACTAAAGTCATTCTTTTTTAAAGCTTATTTCCTGTGTTGTTTTTCTTTGCTTTCTATTAAGAGAGTATAAACAGTCTGCATGTTATCCTCTGTGGCATCATCCCACCTTATAGGTTTATTAAATCCTACTTCTTCCTTATACTTCGTTCATCGTATGAATTAAAATGGTTCACATTCCGCTTGGTAGCTCACAGTTTAGTACCTGAAACATATTTAAAAGAACTTCTGTTTAACACAGAGTCACTTGTAAGCTGTTAGGAACTCACATGTTCTCACCTTAATTCCCTTCTCTTTCCAGGAATTTAGTGGTTATGTTCAACAAGTGAAGTATGCGATGACGAGAATAAGAGCCACCATGCCAAGGATCTATGAGCTTGCAGCCGGAGGCACCGCTGTCGGCACGGGCTTGAATACTAGAATTGGCTTTGCAGAGAAGGTTGCCGCCAAAGTGGCTGCACTCACAGGTCAGCGCTGGTATGAATTCAGACTCATTTTTGTTACACTGGTCTATATTTTCTAGATGTTTCTGCTTTGAATTCTTGTGAATTTAATGTTAAAAATAATGTTTTCCCATCAAACGTGTTTTATGTCTGTTTCAGAAGTTGCCGTATTAATCCTTTTACCTTTTAAGTTTCCCATCTATGAGTCATACAGTATGCAATTAAAATCTGTCAGTGCTGGCTTATTTACTATCATGGTGATATTCAGTTGTTTTCCCTTTAAAGCTGTTTTGAATGCCCATTTTCAAAGCAGGCAAAATCAGTGAATGGTTGAGACATATTCCTTTCAATGGTAGATATGTTGAGATACTGACAGGCTTAATTTCTTTTTTCCCTATATCATACTTCTCTGAGTTAATGACCTTTTTGAATCTTTAGTAGAGTGCTGTGTTCTCGATAATAACTATTATTACAGCCGAATTGTCATCTCCAGAAAACTCTTCTTAAGATACAGATGTAACTAGCAGAAAGGGCAGACATAATTAGATAATGCTCATTACCGCTCTCTAGCAGAGATTTGTTTTTCAGTCAAGTGTTAATTGAGAAGTACTGGATATAGGGATTAGCATATGTGATCTTTAAAATTTTGAACATGGGCGACATTGAGTGAAAATGTCTAACTTCTTTTGGCCCCCTGCTCTCTCAGGGGATCTGTGGGGTCCTGACTAAAGGAGGGACTAGAACAGCCTAAGATGGGGAAAAATTGTACTGGGAAAGGAGTGTGGAATAAAGTGAACTTTAGCTACTTTTCCTCCTTACTCAAAAGTAGTCAGGCATCATACTCATGTTCGCAGAAGAATAGTGTTTTTTCTTTCAGTGCATTTATTGTCCTTGTTTCTTTATCTTTAAACACACTAGTATCACCAGGTTCTTCCTACTGGTTCAGGACTTAAAGAAACGTAGACAAAGCTTGAATCGGAAGATAAGCATTTTTTCTTGAAGTAAAATTTTTCTTCTGTTTTTGCTTTTCATATCCTGGAACGTTCTGTTTAACTTGCTGATATTAGAAAAAAACATTTAATTCTACCTGTTAGCTCATAGAGTTATTTTTTTTCTTCAGGCTTGCCTTTTGTCACAGCTCCAAATAAATTTGAAGCTCTGGCTGCGCACGATGCTCTGGTTGAACTCAGCGGCGCCATGAACACCACCGCCTGCAGTCTGATGAAGATCGCAAACGACATTCGCTTTCTGGGGTCTGGTCCCCGCTCAGGTCTGGGAGAGCTGATCTTGCCTGAAAATGAACCAGGAAGCAGTATCATGCCAGGTAAGGACAGAGCTGGGAAATATTAGCTCTGGAATTTGACAAGAACCCAGGCACTCTCATGAACAGAGCGTGTCTCCTTGTGTTCAGCATGATCCCAAACGTGGCCAGGGACGTGTGTGGTGTGCTCATTTCAGGAGGTCTGCGGGCCACCTGTGATCAGAATTGGGAATGTCACCCAACAGTATAGGAAAAGAGAATTAGTTGGCACGTGTGTTTTGATTCCTACATGAGAGAATGTGTGAGTTCCATCTTTCATTATCCCAAGCCAGAAGAATTCTGAAACGAGCTGTTAAAGTGATCAGCCTGGGTTGAATAGAAACGAATTCTTCCAGCTGCCTGTTATTTCATTTTTTGCTTTGGGTTTTGTGTTGTCAGATAAGGGAAGTGACACAGATAGTGGCTGGATTCTAGCGAGTCATTTGACAGACTCCTGTGACATTCACTGAATCCCGCGGGGACGGGTGGGTAGCCCTGTTAGACGAATGTAGTGGGTGAACAGTGACACTTAAGTGACACTAAAGAGTTGACTTCAGACTGGAGGCATGTCTCGGTAGCAGGCTGAAGGGCTCTGCCCCTTCACCACTTCACTGGTGACTGAGGGTGAAGGCAGGGAGTACTTGCGGATCACATCAGTGGATAAGGACACAGCAGTACGCCAGGTGACAGGATCAAGACTCATAAAGAAAGGCCTCTCTAGGTTCGACTGAAACTGACAAGGGGACTTTTAATAGTGAAAAAGAAAGAGCTGACTATAGATTCTTTTAAATCTGAGCATGTGTATAGAATGAGAAGGGACCTGATTTTAAAATAGTTCACGTTGAAAAATGATGTGAGTTCAGTTGACTGCAAATTCAAGGGGATTGCCGAGGAAAGAGGAACCCAGATTCACAGGTACGGAAATAACCTTTCCAGTGTGTTGCCTTGTACTGGTCAGAGGAATCTGGGGTGTCTGGTTCAAACTTGAGCTCGTCAGAGGGGTGCTCCCAGGGTTGGTGGACTTAGGACGAGGAGAATTCCAGCTTAATGTGCGCTTCCTCTGAGAACTCTCCTAAGTGTCAGCGAGGCGCCCTTTTTACGAGTGTTCCCGTGGCAGCTGGCTTCTCTGGATTTACACCCCCCACCCCCACCCCGTGTGCTGTAATTACCAGCTCTCTCCCCAGAGCCTGGAGGCCAGGGGCTGCATCACCCACCATGGCGTGCTTAGTGCCTGGCTTCACACCTACGTCCACGATGAACGGAAGCCGTGGCGATGGGGAGGGCCGTATTTCATGTGGCGGGAGCCGCTGAATGAGTGGTTCGCAGTTTGTGGTCACCCGGCCCTCGCTCTTTGTTTGGTTTGCTTCATTGTATCAGCCCTGACAGTTGGGGACTTGCTTTACTGAAGGAAGTCGGACTCCTTTCTTTTCTTGGTTAATTAACGTACTACCTAATCTTGACTGACACCTGAGGCCACCAGCATGTTTGACGTGGACTCTTTCCTCGGCGGCTCTCTTGAAGGCAAGGTGAACCCGACCCAGTGTGAGGCGCTGAGCATGGTCGCCGCCCAGGTCATGGGCAACCACGTCGCCGTCACCGTTGGGGGCAGCAACGGCCATTTCGAGCTGAACGTGTTCAAGCCAATGATGGTAAGCTGGAGGCCCAGTCTTCCACGTTGTTTGACTTGAAGCTAATTGTCTCGTGTTTTCCTTCAGGAAGGTTCTTAGAGATTTTATGTTAGGTACTGGGATGATGTGAGTAGCAATTGGAAGTCAAGCATATGTTAATGTTAGAAGATTAAGCCTGAATATTTAATTAGGTGACTTTTAGCTCAAGTAAGTTGATGGTTTGCTTTATTTAATAGGAAGAAAAAGTCTGGAAACAGGGTGTGGGTTACCTCCTTGTCCCTCACCCAGTGAGGGGGACGCCGGTGCCTCGAAATAAGTCCAGTCTCCGCGAGCCTTCCCTCAACCCTGTCTCCTGCTCACATTGCTTCTCTCTTCTTCCTTCAAATTCTGCCGTCTTAGAAGGATAACCTGCGTTCACTTTCAGGCAAATTCACCACTGCCGGCTTCCGCCCCCGACTTGTCCTTGGATTATTCTCCTGGTCATTTGGAACCCCTGCAGGCCCGTACACTTGCTAACGTCTGACCTTGGCCTTGAAACACTTCTCCTTGGCTTCTTCAGCACCCTCCTCCCATGCTCTTCCCTGTCCCTCTCTGGCTCTCCTTCATCTGGTTTCCCTTTTCCACATACCTGGAAAACATTCGTGTCTAAAATCTGTTCTTTACCCTCATCTTCATGAAGATGGATCAAGGTGGCATCATCTTGATCTTTCGTCCAGTTTTCTCAGCTTCAGAAAATAGAGCTGTCATCCTTTGGAGTCCTTTATTTGTGTAAATTGTTACATCTAAAATATATTAGAGGTTCATTACCTCTAAGAAGCCTCTGTGTAAAGTCTGGTTTTAATTTGATAAGGACATGCACATGACAAATATTAAGAATATTTATTCAATGTATTTGTCAAACCTATATCAGGCACTGTACTGGGTACTAGTGATAGAACAATAAGCAAGACATAATTTTTTGCCCTCACGGAATGTACAGTCTCATGAAAAATAAAAGACGGGCCAAAGCAGAACTCAGACATCTAAGCTTTTGCTTGCATGTCAGATTCCAAACAGTTAATACCAGCTGCCTGGCAAATGTAGGTGTGCAACACATGTCTTGCTAATCTTTTTATTTTAAAAACAAAAATCTATTTTTTGTCTTTTATAGAAAATACATCATGGTAATCAACATTTGCCTTATATTTTTTTTAAGATTTTATTTATTTGAGATAGCGAGATCGAGAGAGAGAGCACAAGCAGGGGGTAGGGCAGAGGGAGAGGGAGAAGCAGGCTCCCTGCTGAGCAGGGAGCCCGATTCGGGACTCGATCCCAGGACCCTGGGATCATGACCTGAGCCGAAGGCAGACGCTTAACCAACTGAGCCACCCAGGTGCCCCAACATTTCCTTATATTAAAGTAATTAGTACAAATCAAACCTTGAAGTTCTGAGCCTTCTACTGGAGTCCATTGTTGGGACTGTAGTTTTCAGACCCTGAGGTTTTAGACCAAAAGAGAGTAGGATGCGGATATATCTTTACACATATTGGAAATGTTACCAAAAAGGAAAAAAATGCTAAAGCAAACTGATTTTATGTTCGTTTTAAATACTGTGTGAAAGATTATTTTAAAGGGTCTGAGGAATATTTGTTTTAAGCATTAAAAACGTGGTGACCATTAGGACCTGGAAAGCCCTCACTGCACTGACTGCCTCAGACAAGCTGAACTTTCTAACTGCCACATCTTTACTTCTCTTCCAGAAGATTCTTTTTCCAACTCTGGTTATCTAAGTCCCCTCCATCAAATAGGACTTCACTGATAGTCCTGCAACTGAATTAATTTCTCTCTGTGCTAACATTTCATACCTGTGTTCTTCACAGTACAGGGTCTCTTGGGTTCCAGTTGTTTGTATTTATGGCTTTTATGTCTTTTAGATTTCAGTGTCCTCAGATGTTCATAATTTCTTTCTGTGGGTATAGTGCTTTACAAGTCGTAGGAGAGCTACATGTTTATCAAATTACATATTCATTTATAAACCAGCACATAATATCTATTATTGGGCAGAAAAGTTAGGCTCAATAAGCCCTTCTCTTTCTCTCTCTCCCCCTTTCCCCTTCACCCCTCCTGTCACAGATCAAAAATGTGTTACACTCAGCCCGGCTGCTGGGGGACGCGGCCGTTTCCTTCACAGAAAACTGTGTCGTGGGAATCCAGGCCAACACAGAGAGGATCAACAAGCTGATGAATGAATCCCTAATGTTGGTGACAGCTCTTAATCCTCATATAGGTAAGGTTTAAGGAGTAATAATGTCATTTTGACTACAGAATTAAAAAGCAAAAATATTTTTAAGAGATTGTTGGATCGAGGTGGACAGCAAATTCCTTTTGGGCATTGTTTGGTAAAATCTCATAAAATACTCGAAATTGTGTTGAAAGACACTGTTTCTATATTAATATGCTGTCAGTGATGCTTCATTTTATTTGAAATGTGGTAAATTTAGAAGTTCAAACTTAAATAAATCATAATGGTATTGAGATGCTCAACATTCTGTGCAGACTACTTGGGAAGGGTCCCCTCAGTTGGCAGCGTCACTAGGTGGCACTGCCCGATTAGCAGTGTGGGATGAATTCATTTTTCTGCCTTCTCTAGATGCTCTAATACACTTTGATTTTGTTGTTTATTCAATTCAGAAATGGGAAGTTACCAATAAGAACAAAAGAGGAAGGGTAGTATTCATTGCTTATAGGGAAAGTGGGGGAAATGTAAATATTTTATCTAAAACCATGACTCTTATATTGCAAGCCTTTTTCAGAATTATAAATATTGTGTAAATTCAAACATCCGGACTTGGATTGTGGACTGATCATAGTGATCCTCACTAAAGATACAGTTTCAGCTTGCAGGTTTTGAGGCCTTCGCTGCATTATGTTATGGTGCCTTGAAAGCTGTTTCCCACCTTCTTACTGCCGAGCTGAGGTTGTTAACATATTCTTTGATTTTCTATTTTATAACAAGTTATGATACAGTCATTAGCATGATATGGTTGCTGTTTAAAATATTCTTCTATAATCCTGGATTTTCAAAGCAGATCTTCTGTTGGCTTCACATCAAGCGGTAATTTCAGTTTTATAAAGTTAGAGCTCATTTGACTGCTTCAGGTAGCTCTGAGAGAGAGGTAGCTATGGTTATAGCCTATTCTGTGCTGTAGTATGGAGATTGGTAATAATATTTTGATCCTTTAAAAACTATTGTACTTTAGCATTCAGCGAGGGAGTTACTCAGGGGAACCCAAAGGCTTATGTGAGAAATGTTCCCTCACATCTGTATGTCAGAACACTTAAGTTAGAAGTGCTCCTAACGCTGAATGATTGGCTAGTCTTTCTTGGAATCCGTTTTCTGTGAGGTAAAGGCCATGCAAGGATAAGTGGGCAAACCAGACCTTGCTTCTGTAGTGTGAGCTTGTAGCCGCTTGTCATGGGTTCTCTGCCGGCTTGTTGTGGAGCAGGCTGGCTGGTGACAGGTATCTGTGGGACCCAGAGAGTAGAGCTGAATGGTTAGCGTAAGGGTTAGACTCTAACGTCCTCAGTGTAAGAGTACACAGTACCTAATACTGACCCTGATCATTTGACGAAAATTCTTTCTCAAAGTTACTCTGATCAGTAAATGCCCTTTTCAACATGCTTCGCATTCACGAGTTCGGGTGAGTACTAAAATTGCCCATAATGTGTTTCATAGATGGTTAATGGTTACATGCTGACACGTAACATCTTGCCTGGTTGACAGTCCTGTTGCCTCAAGGCTTTTGTCCCTTTGACCACAGTCCTCTGATCTGGGGGCATTTGGGGTTTTTTCCTCCTTTGTTGGTTTCATTTTTCTTTGTTCTTTTTTCTTTAAGATTTTATTTACTTGAGAGAGAGAGAGAGAGAGAGAACAAGCAGGGGGGAGGGGCAAAGGGAGATGGAGAAGCAGGGAATCATGACCTGAGCCAAAGGCAGACGCTTAACTGACTGAGCCACATAGACGTCCTTTTATGTACTTTATTGCTTTTGCCTTCTGACCTTTTTTTTGGTTATGTTAAGACAACTTGCAAAGCTGTCCCTGCCCTTACCTCTGTTAATTCCAGAGGCAAATAACTGAGGCAAACAGCATACCTGTGGCCTTTGGTACGAGAACAGATCTGTGCTAAAACTTCCCCTGTATCCTTGCGACCTCTGGGAAGAGGTCAGGGTACTGTGAAGTGACGCAGTTGGCAGGTGCGGCCCTCCCCGGGGCCCCCTCCCTCACCTTGCCTCAGAGCCAGGCCCCACAGCTCCTGCACAGGGGTGCTGTTTGCTGGGGCACTGCAGCACTTAGCTGCTTATGCTTTCGTAGAATGATTGCTTCCAGTTAAACATGTTTCGAGAAACAACACATGTGTCTGCTACTCAGAAGTATGTTTTCATGTCTTGGTGCTATATTGTTTTCTTGTTCTTCCCCCTGTGAAAATAGGAGTTATTCTGCGGTGTAGTATTGAGATGGGGTAATAATGCTTTTGATCTTTTAAAAACTATTGTACAGGGGCACCTGGGTGGCTCAGTCGTTAAGCATCTGCCTTCGGCTCAGGTCATGATCTCAGGATTCTGGGATCGAGCCCCACATCGGGCTCCCTGCTCAGCGGGAAGCCTGCTTCTCCCTCTCCCACTCCCCCTGCTTGTGTTCCCTCTCATGCTGTCTCTCTCTCTCTCTCTCTCTCTCTGTCAAATAAATAAATAAATTCTTAAAAAATAAATAAATAAATAAATAAAAACTATTGTACATTAGCATTTAGCCAGAGAGCTACACAGGGGAACCCAAAGACAATTGAAGTGGCCAACTGCCCATAGGAACAAATCTGTTGTAGAAAGTGAGGTATGTTTAAGTCTGTATCATTTAAGAAAAGTAAAGGTCTTATTCTGTATCAGAAATGACAGCTCTCAAGATAATCACTGCTAATTTTTTTCTTTAAAGATTTTATTTATTTAGTGCAAATGGGGATGGGGCAGAGGGAGAGAGAGAATCTTAAGCAGACTCTGCACTGAATGTAGAGCCGACACGGGGCTCAGTCTCACAACTCTGAGATCATGATCTGAGCTGAAATCAAGATTTGAAGGCTTAACTGACTGAGCCACCCAGGTGCCCCTGTTAAATATTTTTAAGATTAAAAATGTTACTTAAGAGATCAGTAGCCTCAGTTGAGTAAAAGATTACCTTTTGCTTTAGAAAACCAGATTTCACTACAAACTCCTGCACTGCGTTTTTATTTTTTCTTCAGGGTATGACAAGGCGGCAAAGATTGCTAAGACAGCACATAAAAATGGATCAACCTTAAAGGCGACTGCTATTGAACTTGGCTATCTCACCGCAGAGCAGTTTGATGAGTGGGTGAAACCTAAGGACATGCTGGGTCCAAAGTGATATAAATAAATTTGTAATAAAAATAATTATGTTCTATAAAAGAAATGAAAAAGACTCCTTATTGTTCTTAAACAGAAATGAATGAGTGTGCAAGGAATCTGCTCCTGAACTTGAATGTCTCTAGCAGAGCAACTTGGTCGATATATAAAACCCCAGGATGTGCTGGGTCCAAGGTGAATTTGGAAAGTGTGAAATGAAGTGATTATATTGTATAAAGTCAAAGAAAACGGACTCATTTTTCTTTTATGTTAATTGACTTTATTATAGTCAAATCTCATTTCTGTGTATGTGTGTTTATTACTTCATCTGTTTTATAAAAGAGCCATATCAATTTTTAAAGAGTTTTAATTTTGTTGGCTGGTGCTGTTTTCAGTTCCCCTGTAATGAAAAAGTAGTTATCTTGTTCCTAAGTCATATACTTAGACATCTTTTCTTTTCCTGTGATTTGGGGGCATGAGCTAACTGAGCACTTGCCCTGCAGCTTGGGGGTGTGAGTATGTGTGCGCATGTGTGCGTGTGCATACATTGTCTGTTAGGAAGTAGGGCAGGTTTAAAAATTGGGCAGACATACTCCATGTGCCGATAACACACACACCTCCTGACCTTAGATCAGTTATCACTGAAGGGCTGCAGCCTGTGGGTCAGGAATTCTAGGATGTGGATTCGGAAGGATCGGGGCGCAGGCCCGAACTTGGGAAGAGAGGAGGGTGTCGTGAAAGTGAGTCCTGTTCATCACCTCTGCACCAGTGCCAGGAGTTTTCAGCAGGGATGCACTTGAAACAACCACAGGGGATTTTGAATAAGCAGTTCTAGGGAGACCCAGGCCAGATTGATCTAAACCTGAAGCTAAAGGCACGATTTAACATACAACCAACCCCCATTATGGAGGAAGTAGGACTGTTTGGGGTTTTTTGCCATCTCTCACGTGGTAAATCACAGGATCGTGGAGAGACAGAGTCCCACTAGTTCAGCTCATCTGTAAGCAGTGCTCTATCAAGACTGTTCTTAAGAAATGGGAGACTTACCCCGAAACTTATTCTTGGAAATTGTCCAGCAACACCCATCCCCTGTGGTATTTAGAAGGCAGCGTGTGTAGCACGTAAGATTGTAATGAAGAGTTCTAGAACCTTTGTGATGAAAGATGAAATTACGTTCTTCTCACTAATCTCTTAAGCCTGACTGAGCACTCTTTTTTTCCCCCCCCTTAAAAAGGGTTTCCAAGCTTTTTTACCGAACTGTGGAACCTATAGGATCTACTTTCCAACCTTCCAGTAATTGTTTTGCCAGGTGTTCTTCACATGGCGATGATGTGATGCTGGCACAGTTTGCTTTAAAACAAAGCATGCATTCTCTTAGTCTGTTTTGTTTCAAAAAAGATTTTTACTGGAAGAAGTCCTAAAATCACTTAAATTGCTTAGCAGTGCTGGTAGTCGACATCCCAGCCGGCAACTGTTGTGTTGCTGGGGGACTTAGTGATGTGGACGTTGTGCCTCAGCAGGTGTCCTCCGTCTAAATAGGCCATCGTGTGAGGGCTCAGCCGGAGACGGAAGCGGTTATGTAACAAAGATAACAGCAGATTGAGTTCCTAGCCTCAGTCTGCGCAGCTGCTAGGTCCTAGTGTGTTAGGAGCTATCAGTGAGTCTTGAGAGCTGACAGTCATCTCTGCTGTTTGTGAAGGACAACTCTGCTCTATGTGATGTAATCCTATAGAAGGGTCTTAGAATTCCCTGGTGAAGCGTTGTACTGAAAGTTAACCTCAGTGTTGTTTTTTTTTTTTTAAAGATTTTGTTTATTTATTAGAGAGGGAGAAGCAGACTCCCCCACTGAGCAGGGAGCCCAACGCAGGGCTCGATCCCAGGACCCTGGGATCATGACCCGAGCCATAGGCAGACGCTCAACCGACTGAGCCACCCAGGCACCCCAACCTCAGTGTTTTTACACAGGGGCGATTTTGTCTCCATGGGACACTTGGCAATATCTAGAGACATTTTTGGTTAAAATGTTGGGTGAATATGTTTAAAATGGACACAAAAACAATCCATTGATTGGGAACGTGTCATGAGTATGAACAAACATGTAGAATGACAAGGGGTTTTCTTGATCAAACTAATTTCAGAGGAGGAAAGTCATGGGGTTTATGAACTGATCAGTCTCGAACTACCATCAGCTTGACACGCAGAAGCATCAGGGAAATTCATAGTCATGGGCGAAATATGCTCCTTTACCTGTTCAATTTGGTTGACAGGAAAAAAAATGTATTCACAAAAACTTATGAGACTATTTCATACCCAAACATTTTAAGGGACCATGTTCTTGAATATAGCTACGTTAATGCCTCTTTCATTTCCTCTTCAGTTGTCCTTTTGATTTATAACTGTGGCAGTGAGAAATCTGGGAGAGACAAATCTAATATATTTTTTAAAAGAAAGATAAGCTTAAAACTGGTAACCTAGAATGAATTTGTTGGTGGGGATTAACAGGTACAAACTCCCAGTTATAAATAAGTCATGGGAATACAGCATAGGGACTATTTTATTTTTTATTATCATGTTATGTTAATCACCATACATTACATCATTAGTTTTTGATGTAGTGTTCCATGATTCACTGTTTACATATAACACCCAGTGCTCCATGCAGTACGTGCCCTCTTTAATACCCATCACCAGGCTAACCCAGCCTCCCAACCCCCGCCCCTCTAGAACCCTCAGTTCGTTTCTCAGAGTCCATCATCTCTCATGGTTCATCTCCCCCTCCGATTTCCCCCTCTTCATTCTTCCCCTCCTGCTATCTTTTTTTTTTTTTTAACATATAATGTATTATTTGTTTCAGAGGTACAGATCTGTGATTCAACAGTCTTACACAATTCACAGCACTCACCATAGCACATACCCTCCCCAATGTCTATCACCCACCCACCCCATCCCTCCCATCCCCCACTTCTCCAGCAACCCTCAGTTTATTTCCTGAGATTAAGAATTCCTCATATCAGTGAGATCATATGATACATGTCTTTCTCTGATTGACTTATTTCACTCAGCATAACACTCCAGTTCTATCCATGTCGTTGCAAATGGCTAGATTTCATTGCTTTTGATGGCTGTATAATATTCCATTGTGTGTGTGTGTGTGTGTGTGTATTTATATATATATATATCACATCTTCTTTATCCATTCATCTGTCGAAGGACATCTTGGCTCTTTCCATAGTTTGGCTATTGTGGACATTGCTGCTATAAACATTGGGGTGCACGTACAAGCATAGGGAACATTTTAATACAGCAATAAAATACAGCAATATTTTAATCACTTTGCATGGAGACAGCCAGCAACTAGGCTTGTGTGGAGCATTTGTAATGTATAAAAATATCTAATCATTCTGTACACCTGAAACTAACAGGATATTGCATGTCAATTACACTTCGATAGTTTTTTAAAAAGTTTGGAAGAAAAGCTCTTAACCACATGGTGCATCATAGAAAGGGGTTTCTTACAGCAAATTTATTAAATTTGCATTCAGTAACTGGCTTTTGAGCAACCGATCTAGAGCAGCTTCTACCTGAAATTTGTGTGAGGAGAAAGAAGCTGCTGATTATTGTCCACCATGTGTGACATCACCAGGTAGAACACTGAGATCATGCAACACTGTGTCACGCCAGACGGGTGAGGCTGCCGTGTGGGTATCTTTTGATCATCCTGGAGACCCCTACTGACATTGTACCCTTCAGTCCAGGGTTCTCCCGCAAGGACTGACTACGGGTACCCAGCTACAGACCAGGATGCTAAGATGAGCACCAAAAGAGCTCATTCCATCTGCTGGTTTACTATCAAGCGTATCCGCTCATAAGTCTCTGGAGAGAACGAAGGTTTCATCTACCAAACATTACACTCTAACAGATGAGCCTCCTCTTTAAGAATCTGTGGTCAAGACTGTTCATTTTGCCTCCGTCCGGTGAGGAAGGAATGTACAGTTCTTGATGAGCACGGCATGTTTTCATCAGTAACTCAGGGCTAGTCCTCACGTCAGATGTTTAAGCAGAGGTGAAAGGTGAGGCTGTACAGAGAATGGCCCAGCAAGACGCAGAAGGCAAATGAGAGGTAACCACCGAAAAAGAGAGATGTGGTCGTGGAGGTTAATTGGAGTGGCTCATACTCTAGATACTTGGAGGACGAGGAAGCACATTGATCCAGTGGAGTCCGGTTCCATCTCTGCTGCCTCCTGATTAGCTTTCTGGCCACTACTTGATGCCTATAAACCCATTTCCTTATCCTTAAAATGGAACTCTTGATACATATTTGTACTTAGATCCCTAAACTCATGTGTGTATATATGAAGTACCCAGCACAATGCCCGCCCCAGTTAGCATCTCCATTTCATTCCCTGAAGACAATGAGCAAAATTGCCAAACACTGAACAGATTTTTAAAAGGATGAGACTGAGGTGAAATCAGATTTGGCCACTCTTTCCTTTGAGACTGTTCAGCTGTGTAATTTATCATCTAAGCGGGAGCACTTTGTAGAACTGAAGGAGGCAATAAAATACTTAAAATTGTACAATTTTTGAAATGTTTATGCACCAAACAATTGTTTTTATCATATTGGTGGGCCTATTAGTAGTGCTACTCAAAAACTAATTTCAAAACTAGAATTCTCTCCAAAACAATAAAAAACACATACGTATGTGTGTGTACATCAAAAAGCAAAATTTTTAAAAATTCTGATTGAACATTAAACATGGCAGAAGCAATAATACTTGGTTGGTACCTATTCATATAATTTGGCCAGTTCCTTATTGTCCTTCTCTAATAAAGTGTCACTTATGATTTTTTAAAGAATGTATTTTTTTCCAATAGGGTTTTTATTTTCAATTTTTATATAAAATAGTCTGTAATCTTTACAAATTGCATTAACGGTTAATAAGTGTGAAATTTTGACATTTTCAATTTGCTCTTCTTTGTACACTATTTTTTTTTACACTATACTATTTTTAATTGAGCAATTAGTCTCTCTGTAGCTGCTGTTAACCCTGATAAGCTCAAAGCAAATTCTATTAAATGGAGGATACTTATAATACTATTTTTTTGTCTTGACGTGTGTAAATATTAACTCAATATTCTCTTTTTGCTAACATTCAGACTAACTGCAATAAGGTTTGTTGTTTTTTTTTTTTTTAATTTTTAAATTTGAGTGTAGCTGACACACAATGTTACACTGGTTTCAGGCGTCTAACAGTGATTCCACATCTCTGTCTGTTAGTTCCACTGTGCTCACTACAAGGGTGGCTGCCATCTGTCACCATCGGCTTTTTTCCCTGGGCTGTGCCTCTGTCCTCGTGACTTATTCCTTCTATAACTGG